CATTTCTTTCATGTTGGTAATCTATCTGATAAAAGTACTGGATAGTAAACCAAATGCTCTTTCAAAAGGCTTCTTTCTCAGAAGGTTGCCTGCTGAGGAATAAAGCACAACAGGACCTGGCACCCACCCATACATTTATTTAGGCATCACATTGGTCCTAGAAAGTAGGAAAACCTCTCTGGTAACATCTATTTCCATGATGTCCCAGAGATTGGTCAGTCAGCAACCCACAAGGTGTGCAACTGCTGAAAACTGGAGATAATAAAAAGAGTTTTTGGCTAGAGTGAAACATGTATATCTGTCAGTAGCACAGTGAGTATATTTTTCAAGACTGCTCAATGTTGAAATCATATACAGAGTGTTAAATGTCATCATTCGATTGTTAGTATGAAATTAGCATGGAGATTTAGGTAATCCCCTTGAGAAATGGTTCATCCAATTCAAATAATAAGTGTAACATCAAGACAACCACAATCAATGATGAAAAAAGCTAAGCAGTGTCTGCCCTGGTTAGTTTTCAGATGGTAGAAAATCCTAGAGCTATAGGCTTGAACAGAAAGTTAGAAAAAGTCAGAGGGAACCAGCTCTGTACTATTGCTACATGACTTATCCATATAATCCTCTGGAACTGAGTTCAATTTGAGGGTCTCTGTTTTGTTTTGGTTTTAAAAAGAGTCTCTGGTTGAAAATAGGTCAGTAGCAGAAGAGACGATTTACACACAAAAGATCCCAGTTTCAACCCTTGGCTCCTACAGGAAGGACTGGGAAAGATTTCTGCCTGAAATTCCAGAGGAATAACTAGTCACTATACTGAAGTCATTTGTATATAGCCAAAATGGTGAACCTATGGCAGGCATGCCCGAAGTGGCACATAGAGCCACGTTGCCTGGCATGTGTGGCGTCACCCATTCCTCTTCCGGGTTTCTGGTGCGCATGTGCATTTGATGATCAGCTGGCCTTTGTGCATGCAGCAGTGCTTGAAACTGGAAGAGCTGGTCTTCTGTTTCCCCACATGGGCATGCATGCTGACCAGCTGATCGGCGTGTGCAAATGTGTGGTAGAAAATGGAAGACTTACTGGTCAGCGCACATGCACGCGCTGGGAACCAGAAGTTCATTTTACGGTGCGTGCATGCCCCCGGGGCAGCTCCTCTTCCTGGTCGCAGCCCAGACGAGTGTGCGTGAAGTGCTCCCTTTTCAGCACTTGGTGCTGAAAAGGTTCACCATCACTGGTATACAGCAATCTTGTTTTTATTTTATTTTCTTCCTTTAATTCCGCTTTAGAGAAGTTTAAATGAGAATAGCAAGCACAATCAACTGGAACTTCACTATGTTTCCAAGTTGGCTGGAAAATAATGCTTGGATTTACAAAAAGTACAGTATTTCCTTAACTCGAGTTCAATCTTTTCCCTTCCATGTCAGCAGTTGATGTTAAAAGTTTAACATATTCATGAATAACATCCCAATGTACTGCATATGTCAAACAATACAGAAATAGCTGGTTGATATTTTACATGATTCATAAATTAAATTATCAGTTCATTCATTCAAGGAAAAAAAATCGAGGCTGTTGCAATTCATTTTTTTTTTTTAAAAAGAGAAGGTTAAATGTGGCTTCCTTTCATAGGCTGTCAAAATTAATAGATTTCATGATACATTGGTACAAACTCAGAAATTACTGGGCTAATTCTGAAAGCTTTAAAAATAGATACATGTCCTTTATAATGGAAAGGGATGGAATCTTGCAATATATCTGAGATAATTCAAAAGATTAAGCTTTTGCCTTTCAATTTTTTTTTGAAAATAGCCATTTGTACCTTTTAACTTTCAAATCTAGGTCTAGAGCAAAAGTTCTTAAAGGCTTCAGGGACCAGTGCTAAGCAAATTGAGAAGATGGCTGAAATCTTTTTTGAGGCCAGACATTTCCTTCCAGGTTGGTTTTACTTTAGGGCCATCTGCATGGGGAGGATGGCAAAAGGGTTAAAATAGTGCCCATTTTCATGTCTGTTTCCTTTTTTCATGTATGTTGAGAGGGCATGTGACGTGATATTTGAAAAAGGGCCAGGCTTTGTGCCCTCACAATGGCCTTTTTTGACACCCCTATGATCCCCCTGCTGCATTTTAAAATCAATGTGTGGGCCTTTTTCACAGGGTGGGCCTTTTAGCCTAACCCTGAAAGATAAAGGAGTCCCTGTCAATTTTACTCCACTATTTGTAGCTGACTTTAGGGGCCGGTCCTCATCTGTTTCTTTAAGCCATTGACCCAGGGCTGTCTGAAAATGTTTCAGCAGTCATGTAGTTAGCATGACACCACGCCATGGCACAAAGGGTGTAGCGAAACATGGAATGCTATTATCTTCCCACCAAAGTGGTACCTATTTATCTACTTGCATTTAAAATGTTTTCCAACTGCTAGGTTGGCAGAAGCTGAGGCAAGTGACGGGAGCTCACTCTATTACAAACCACCAGGGCACAGTTCTTCTCCGACATCTTTTAAGCCACTGAGCCACACTTATTTTGTTGTAACCCTAATCTTTTTTGTTTATTGTTTTCCCCTTGGGTTTTTTTGTGGGACTGACAATGGTTTAAATATTTTTGGATTGTCAGTATTATTTTAATCACTGGCATTTTTTATTTCTTAAATTAATTTTACAGTAGCTTTTGCAATCGCTTGAACCATTGTGAGAAGATTTATACCCTAACATAAGAATAAAGATCCTGAGCCTAGTTGCTGCTGAATCACAGTTCCCAGAATTCCTCATCAGTGGCCGTGCAATGCTGGTCCCACTCCTCCAACTCTGAAATAAATTCTGTCAACTGCATTGTTTTGCATTCCCTTTTCACTTCACTTTATGACCACCTGAGGTCATAAAGCATATTAGGATGTTTTAGAATGTGCCATCTTTTAAAACTTCCTTCCTTCCTGAGATTCCCCCAAACTGCCTTCTTGTGCCTAGATAGTGTCATTTTTTTATGGCTACACTGCAGCATGCATTACCTGAACCCTGGAAATAGAAAGTTAAGTGACACTCATTCTGTATTAATCATATTATTTATGTGTGCCTTCTGTATCTGTGATGGAGTCCAGATCAGATTTTTGTTTCAAATTGCTCTACCTCATTCAGGAAGAATAATGTGGGACGGGCAAACAATATAATTTTCTGCTTGCAATCTTCCTCTCATTTTCTAAAACTTCTGCTGTGTTCTTTCATTTAAAAATCCTATAGGAATAAAATAAAGCATGTGGAATTTAACATTTTATCTAGTCTGCTATTTTATCTAGTCTAACCAAAGTTGCTTTGGATAGTGGAATGGATAGTATATAAATTTTAAACAAACAAACAAATAAATACATTTTGTATGAAACCAGAGCCATTCCATGTTGAATAGGAAAGTAATGGCCTTCTCTTATCTCCTCATGATCTAATCTGAAANGTCCACTGGTGGAACCTCTTCTAACCGGTTCGGTAGATTTGACGAACCGGTTCTACCGAATAGGTGCGAACTGGTAGGAACCCACCTCTGACACAGTCCCACCTGCCTTATATCAGCACCCTATCATCTAAGCCTACAAAAAAAATGATGAAGTAGAGTTTACTGTAAGGTTACCCATCCCTTATTTAGAGAGATAAGTTATCAAAAAGGCAATCTTGTATGATTAGTATGCATCACCATTTTCCAGTGATTCTCCAAAGTCAATGTAGCTATTCATGGGTTCTACATTCCAGATGTTGTCTGTCTAACTCCTTGATCTTGAATCTACTTTTTAAAATCTGTCACTTGACTCACTGATGTAAAACCTAATGGGTTTTGGTAAGCAACTTTGAAAGTACTGTGTTATGTGAAGCACTGTCGCCTTCTATTATATTCAAAAGGAATTTAGCTCCAAGCTTCACCAAAATGATAGTTATAACAAAACCTAGCTCATAATCCTTCTTGCACTTCAGATTAAAATACACAGTGGATTTCAATTTTTATTTCTATGATCTTGTGGTGGTGGCTCACTCTAGCTTATTCTAAGAGGCTAAATTGTTCTGACAGACTTTGAAGATGTGACCTTCTCTGACTGTAGCTTTGTATTCAATTTGCATACATACACTTACCTGAGTGGAAGTGCCTCCTTCTTCCTCAGGTTGGCTCAAGGTAAATTCCTCCATCACAGGTTCACGTGTATTCATTACCTCTGTCATGCTGCAAAAATCAGAATAGGCTATTTAAAATGTGAAAGACTTAAGGTAGGTCAAATGTCTCATAACGTATTTTAATTCTGTTATCCACAAGCCAGACAAAGCACACTATGGCTTATGTATTAATAAACCAAGCTTCTATGCTTGAACGTCTATTAATAGCATAATTCATATTAGTTGGATTCTTTTAATTGCGTTCACGAATTTGTAGGAAAAAACAGAACTATTTGCACCACAACTTTCAAGTTAAATCTTTCCATATCAATAACGATTCTTCTCTCTTCTTTACTTCAAAAGGAAAAAACCAGAACTATTTTCATTGCAACTTTCAAGTTAAATCTTTCCATACCAATAGCGATTCTTCTCTCTTCCTTACTTCAAATCAAGTCAGAAAAAGTAGTGAGACATTAAACCAAAGGCAACTCAGAAAAATTGGATGGTGATTCCCTATGATTCAATATATATTTTGTTCTTTTTCTGAGGTTGCAGAAATGAGGTTTACACACTTGATACAGAAGTGAAATATTAGGATGAATGGATGAATGAATGGCTGTTCTAGCTTATTGAACAGAAGGATTAGAGGGGACATGATAACTCTCTTTCAGTATTTGAGGATCTGTTCACAGAGAAGAGGGGATTGACTTATGTTGAGTTTTATTGTTTAATTTACTTTTGTTCACATTTCTTTTTGTATTGTCCTACACTCCCTTCCCNTCCAAACTACTCAAAATATCCGTTACCGGTTCTCCCATTTTGGGACCAAACCCAACCAATTTCATTCATAATGCAGAATTTGGAATTGTTAATCATTTTAGAAGTGACACTGGTATATGATTTGAAGAGCAATCATAACAGTGGAAGTTTACAATCAAATTTAAATTCTCTTTTTCTTAAAAAAACAATAGATGTACATTTAGGACAGTTTTGTGGAATGAGGGAGAATATGTATCTGTTTTCATTTTTATTTTTCAAGCACTGTAAGTGGGGACAGATAGAAGAAGTAGGTTGAGTGAATAAGTGGAGAAGAGTAACTGAAGATAAAGCTTCAGTTTTACTCCATAAACATAGAGCTCCTCTTATAAAATTTCACAAGTTTTAACTTAGCAGAAGGCTACTTTATCTCTCTAAAGAACAGACTACTATAAAATCTTTCCTGTTACACTGGAGAGAGTTGTAGAGATGATCTTGGAGAAGGAACACTTCAATTAGTTAACATGAATAAAGCCCAGAAAAGGAAGACACTTTCAAGATTTGGCTACCATAGTCTATGCCAGTCAAGTAGTGTACTAGTATTTCTTGTGGTATCTGTTTCCTGACCTGACCTATCAATCCTGAAGGCCCAAAGTTGTTTTTCCCTTCCTTTCTTATACTAAAGAGAGTTAAGGCAGAATTAGTTTAAGTTTCTTTCTAATATTTTATTCCTTTCAGGGATTAAATTCATGTTTTGCTAAATGCCACATTCCTTCTCTGAGGTCATCTCTGTAATTTCCCACACACACATATTTCTAGACCAATCTTTAATTTTGTATAAAAAGCTCCTTCTTTTACTAATGTGATTCACACCCACACAAAGACACCATACAAGCATACATGCTCTACTCCTTCAATCACTACCTAGTATTTATGAGTGAAGCTCTTTGGAATCATATAGTACTGATTGCAGCAACATAGAGGAGAGGGGAGGATTTCGGTGAGGGGAATCATCAACAAAGATTCCATATCTACAGAAAAAAAATGTATAGCATCTGCTTTGCATGTTTTCCATCATGTTGATATTCCAGAAGTTGTGTCACCAAGGTATGGGGTCCCAGTAAACTAGTGACATTCTAAGATTGTTCCCCTATTGTGGTTTATATTTGGACTCTCTACTTTGTGGCTTGCGTATTTTAATTTTTAATCATATTTTAATTTAATAATGGTTGTTAGTTTTATTATTATACTTTTATATCATTGTTTTATTTGACTGTTGTGTGTCAGAGTCACTTCTGAGATAGGCAGTCGTATACATTTGGCCAATAAATAATTAAAATAAATAAAAATGTCACAATCTTGCAATGAAAGCCTGCTTCTTTTTTGTGTGTCTCACAGGTGACACTTCAATTCCATGTTTCTGGATCCCATCTTGAATTTTTTGATTCCCTTCCTATAGGTATCCATGTAATTTTGTTATGGAGAACTTTTTTCTCTACCTCAGGATTTTTAGCTTTTTTCTAATGTTAAGCATGGCATATGAATAGCTGCTAGTTCCAATAAATAACAAATCTTGTTTGAAAGTAAAGTACAAATAGAATTTGGGAAATTATTAGAACTTTTTATGCCCACACAGATTTCAATCTGTTAATCTAAGATTGGTAGGCACTTTTAAAATAAAGCATGGACCCCAATATTAAGAAAACATTTTTTTAAAAAAAATGAATACTTTTACAAATCTCCTTAGCTGGTGTACAAACACATTAAGGCAGATGCTCATGATTATTATTATTTATATACGTCACAAGTGAAAATTTATTATTCCCACCCATCCCAACATTGTTTTAATAGGTTGATCTTTGATTACTACCATATACACATAAAAATGTTCTTCAGTTTCTCATCTCCCTGGAGAGCTTTATTTCAATGTAATTACTTAACAAAAAGAAAACTTTCTTTGTGCTAAAATAGTGAAAACTTGCCTTAAGACATCAAAATGCAAGAATCAAGTCAAGTTGAGCTAATCTTGAAATTAACACCATACAAATATCACTTCGCTTTATCATATCACTTTGTCATGACTTCTATCCAATTCTGGAGACTGTATTTTGGTGATCACATCGAAGTTAAAGCATTGAAAAATGCTCTTGGGAATAACTGCTATATCAGTTTTATCCTAGCTACTGCTACTGTGGGTTTCCACTTAAGACTCTCCCTGTGCAAAAGCCTACAATAGATTAAATAATCCAAATAAAGCAGATGGTCTGAATGGCATCATTAATTACATAGAAAATGCATCTTATGTCTGTCCTGGGCATTTCTGTCTAGTCTTTGATCCCAAATGATAGATAAAAATTTCAGCAGAGTCTATATACAAATGCATTGGAAATTGCCTAAAATAGCGATGAAATAAGCAGTGTTCTCTTTTTCCCTTCCAAAACAGGCTCAGTTAAACCAGGTTAGCATTTGGGTCACAAATTGTTTGTGCAAACAATAGAAAAGGCTGCTGAAGTTACACAAAACTAACTCGGTTCACAAACAATAACGAACAGCTATTTCCATTCAAAATGTACACAAAATGTAAAGCCTTAAATGTTAACTCATTTTCTTTCAAATGCAGTGTTAATAAAAGGCTGGTTCACTTGAATTTGCACAGAAAAAGAGATAAGGGATAAGTAAAGATCTCTGCTGTGCATCACAAAAAGGCAGTCCTAAATTCTCCATTTAATCCAGATTTAAAAGTGAAACTTGCATTTCTATACAAAAAAGGTACAAAGTTAGAAGGTGACATTATATTACATCTATTATCCATAATATCACAGTGCTAGTTTTAAATGGCTAAAACAAAAGAGGTTTAATTGATTTAATATATTCTATGGCAAACAAACCCTGTGTCTTGGTATCAATATCAGATAGCTCTTTTATCTTTAAGAGACAATTTCACTTATAAGTGCTCATTGCAACTGATTTCATTTTTTTTTTGGTGTTTGATATGAATAGTTTTGCTTCTATTTTTCCTTTTATGGCATTAATAAAAGGAACCAGGAAGAACTACCTAATGTGCTCCGCTTTTCCTCAAAGGAAATTGAAATGATATGAATCCCAGCCTGAAAAGAAGCAGTTCTAAAGCCCCTAAATTTCTTGCCATGTACTAACCTAATAATAGAACTAAAATTAAAACCTTCTATGGTTTTAAAATAGAGCATGTTGACAAGCCTTCGGAATGTGCCAGCTTTCCAATTAGGGTCCCACCACAGCTTCAGTTTGTTGAATGAAGTTCCTTAGTCATCCTCAGTTCTGCTTCCACTGGATTTTGTACTATCTCCTATGTCTTGGTGTGGTGAAGCACCTGGAGAGAAACAATGGTTCCTGTGTTAGAGAAATTATGATTAACCTAGCTACAGTTTGTTAATGACGCATAATATATGAAGTTACTTTATCTCAAAAATTATACTAAGTGATACAATATGTTTGAATAATTGTAAATGGAAGCTGAAATTTCTGATGGGTTAAGCTGGAGGAGGAAAGGGTGCACGATCTTAGAAGAGACCAGGATTGTCCCTATCATGGTGCTCTGGTCAAATGCTTGGCTTAAATTTATGTAATCCCTTGCCATTTAACATTAACTGACTGATCTAATGGGATTTGAAGACCACAACTGCCTATGCTTGATATATTAGAATAGGGGTGTCAAACTTGTGGTGTCATGTGACTTTCCCACCTTCGCTAAACTGGGTGGTGGGCGTGGGCATGATGCATCTATCCCCAAGGCCACAGGTTTGACACCCCTGTATTAGAACACCCCAACAGAGGAATTAAAATACACCAGTTTAACATTTTTTAAAAAAATATATGGGTGGAACACATGGTGTGCTAGTACAGGCAATGTCACACTCTTTTTAACACATTTCCCCAGTAAAAGTTAATTAAAATGTTCATACTTTCAAGATCCATCTGGTGTTGCTGAGCATAGGATCTCTGAGCAGTGAGAGCCTTCTTGTCTTCCATTGATTTCAGATCCTCTGGAGGCCAACGAAGCTCTCCACTTTCAACATCCCCCATCTCAGATGGCTCTACCACAATGGATGGTAATCTCTTTGACAGTTTTGGATACTTTTCATGGGCATCCGGGAATGCCTATGAAGTACAATGAAGAATTTAATTGCTTTCATCACGATGGTCAGGTTGTAATGACATGTATAAAAAAAATAACTATAAGGACACATGGATGTTCTCTGTTTCAATGTTTTAAAATGCCATTAAAGATTATATTGGTTCAGCAATAATTAGTACAATCTTGCAACACAAACTTTCATAAATCAGGAAAGCTAAGCTAAAGTTCTAGAGGAAATGGATGTATCCATATTACAAACTAGTAATTTTATTTTTGGTGGCATCCTGTTGACTATCAATTCGCCACTGGTAATAATAGCTATGGTAATAGCTGATATGCCCTTCATAATCTGCTTTGGGCTTCTTGCAAACTTGCATTTTCCATTGTATGCACCAGAAGACAGAAAAGAATGCTACCGGAAGAATTCTTACTATGCAATTTATCTCAATTTATCTTCAAATTTCACCTTAAACTGGTTATCTTAATTACTCTGAACATTAAAGCCAATTAAAGATAAGCAATATTTTGAAGGTGAATTCATGTAAAAGGTTGTTTTCTGTCAAACCAAGGAACTCTCCTTCCCTTTAGCCCAGGGAAGAACATGTTGGAATATTTGAAACTGACAGAATGGGAAGGTCAACAGACAAATGGATTTCTTGGTATCATCACCCAAAAACAAGATGTTAGGCCTTCAATACCCATTGCTTCCTGCTGTGGCCTCTTAACTCAAATATTTGCCAATCTGATACAATTCCATTGGGCAATAGAAATAAGAAATAGTGTAGCATTTCTCCTGGCAAACAAAAAAATCTTTACCTCCCACCTTTTGCACTTTATTGACATTTCTATAAACAATGGATAATGGTAATTTACTGTGACATATTGCTATTTACGTTCTATCATTTTGATGGTTAATATTTGTGTAATACAAATATCCAATATTTGATCATCTGGCACGAGTGGAGCCGACAGCCTCAACTCAAACCAATGACAATTGTTATGAAACCATGAAAGCTGCAAATAGTGCAAATGGTAAAGAGCATGGCTACTTTAGAACAGGATGGTTTTTTTAGTACAAGCTTCATCAGATCAACTTTCATATAAATGATTTGGTTTCCTTACAAGGAGGATTTCAAAGGCTAGAGAAAGAAACAGAACCAACTGCCAGTCAGAACAGATTCCACCAATTCTTGCAATAGAAAAGCACAGTTTCTAGGTATGCATGGATTTTCAATTAATTTCAAAAACCCCAAGGAAGTGATTAGCTAACATCCCTAATAAGGGCAAGTTGTCCATTCCTTAGCATGGATGGATTTTTAAACAAAATAAAATAAAATTATTTTACTTAAAAATAAATGTTAACCATATAGTCTGTGCTGAGGCATTTTCAGAACTGCCACTTTGATCCTGCTTTCACCTTGTTCAGTGACAGCCTGCCATAAACTCCAGAGGGCTGCGGGGAGGGAAACCCTTATGAGGGGGAAAGGGAACGAGTCTATAAACTGCTTTGTGCCAGCCAGAGACAACACCTCAAGGCAGGGGTGGGTTGCTGCCGGCATTATTGCTGGTTTCGTGTGCAAAAATATTTGAGCGTGTGCGCTCACTACGCACACGCCAATTGCACACTCCACACACATGCACATTTGAACCTAAAAAGGTCTGCGCATGTGCAAAATGTTAAAAAAGGAAAAATATTACATTTCTGCCATGAAAATTGTTCTGCCCATTGGCAGAACCGAAAATCAAGATGGCACCGCCATATGAGAACTAATTTGGGGGCATGGCAGGCCTAGGTTGCTGCTGGTTCCAGCGACCCAAGCCGCCAAGTTACTACCTGTTCAGCCAAACCGGTCTGAACCAATAGGAACCAATAGGAACCCACCTCTGCTTCAAGGACGCCTGGCCAGAAAGAACAATGCAGATACATTCAAGGATGACTGTTCTAAAAACATCTGGTTTGATAAGACACATGGGGACCAATGGGAGGAAGATGTGGGAAACAAGGGGTTTTCACTAGGGAATTGGCATGGGAACCTCAGGTCTGGATTTGCTTTACTGTACTTCACCTGACTTTAGTAAAACTATACCTTACTCTCAAAAATGGAGTCATGGATCATTCTTGCCTAAGGTTGAAGTTGAGGCAGGACTGACAGGCCTTTTGCTTTAACTCTGGGATGGTGAGTTTGTGGCCCTCCAGTTACTTTTCATGACTATCAGTAGTTCAAGCATCACAACTCAACCCCGCTCAGCTAATAGCAATAGTACTAACACTTAAAGTTATATACAGCTTCATAGTGCTTTACAGTCCTCTCTAAGTGGTTTTACAGAGTCAGCATATTGCCCCCAACAAGCTGGGTCCTCATTTTACCAACTTCAGAAAGATGGCAAGCTGAGTCAATGTTGAGCTGGTGAGAATCGAACTGCTGGCAGTTAGCAGAATTAGCCTGCAATACAGTGTTGGGTTCCGGATCCTGGTGCAACCAGTATGGTGCAACAGGGCCCAGCGTCCACCACATGAAAGCATGCAGCACACACACACAGTATGCACATGTGTCCTTACCTCCTGCAACACTCCAGCTGCTTGACGGAGCATTGCACAGGCGCCGTATGCTCCGTGTGCATGCGCGGAAGTGCTGAAGAGCTCAAATACAGGTAAGGACCATACCGGAACGGTACCCGGTGCTCCCGGCAGGCACCAGTATGCCCGTACTGGAGAGTACTGCCTGCAACCCACCACTGCTCAATACTGCATTCTAACCATGGTTGCTAATATTGGGAAGTGGCAGAAATTATAATACATAGATAAGAAAGAGGTATATATGAGCCCTTGAAGTAACTACAAATGGAAGGGCAAGTGACCAAACAGTCATTTGGTCTCTAGGCATGGCGTCTTAAAATTGTTCAACCACTGAACATGACTGTCTACTTTTGTTTCTGTTTCTTGTTGTTAATTTGGAGAGTGCACATTAATCCACAGAGGGTAGATTAATGTGCACAGAGGGTGCCACATTTGCTGCATTTGAAAACTTATCAAGCACTTTTTAGATTCATGCCAATGTAAATATGTGGAGTCTGTCTAACCACCAGATTCAGAGCAGAGACTGAAATTCTCAATCACCCAGATATAAAATGACTAGGTCTTCAGACATTAGAAAACAGAATATACCACATCATAAAAAAGAATTATTTTTAATAGGAACACACGTAAAATGTATATATTGAGGAATCATGAACAGAAACAACATATTTTAAGGATGAAATACAGTACTTTTAAAAAGGTATGTGGAAGGAAAACCTTAGACAAAAATATGTGTATTAGGAAAAACATACAAGGAAATGGGTATGAGTTTTCATGATTTTTTTTTTTGCCAAATTTACCAACTAATGTAGAAAATAATTTAGAATGGAGAAAATGAGAAATTGAGAGAACTATTCAGATTAGCCTGTTGTTATTTTTAAGGGTTGCATGATACCTCTATGTCCTCATATACTTAATGAAATAAGTTGTAAAGACAATATATCTGTCGATATATATGTACCATTGTTGGAAGTATTAGAAGATATTTCATAGATATTTAGATTTACAGGTAATTACTGATTTTTTTAAAGAAAGCCTTAAGGAACTGTCAGAAACTGTAATGTCATTCGCAAAGCCTTCTGATTGTTTTCATCAAATGCATCTTCATTACTATCTCTTACTACTATAATATATTTAGCATGCAATGGAAGAATATAAGTTTGCTGTAAGTCTCCTGAGATCTCCTAGTACTGTGATGGCAAACCTATGGCACGCATGCTACAGGTGGCACACGCAGCCATATTTGCTGGCACGGCAGCCCTCACATACAGTGTGCATGCACATGCTGGTCAACTGATTTTTGGCCTTCTGGAGCAGTGATCCCCAACCCCCGGTCCGCGGACCGGTGCCGGGCCGTGGAGTACCTGGCACCGGG